CTTTAAAAAAAAAAAAAAATTCCACCTGGCAGCAGTGCGGAGGATGAACCGGGGGACGGCAGAACTGGAAGGCAGGGAGACCAGTTAGCAGACTCCTGTGATGGATCACTTAAGAGGCAGACAGGAGAACCTGAGTGAACACTGGGATGGAGAGAGCAAGATCGGAAAGCTATTTAGGAGTCAGAAGTCAGAATTTGGTGGTTGAAAGGACGTAGAATCTAAAATTTCCTCACTTACTGAACAAAAAACACCTCCTCTGCCTAGTTCTCAAAGGAATTTGGGGCTAGAGGCTGAACAAGATAGATGTGGTCCTTACCAACATAGAGCTTCCAGTCTACCTTGATCGGTAATAATCACACCATTAACAGATTAATAACAGTAAGTTATTATGACTCTACAATGACTTGTTTGTATAATTATTATTACTTGTTGCTTGCTCTCAAAAGAGTCCTCAGTTCTGCTACAACTATAATAATAGTTAACATTTATTGGGCACACCAGATACCATTCTAAACATTTAATAGTAATATATTTACCACCTTGTTAACATGCTTGTTTTTTTGTTGTTGTTGTTTTGGGTTGTTGTTTTTTTTTAAGATTTTATTTATTTATTTGAGAGAGAGATCTCGAGCAGGGGGGATGGGTAGAGGGAGAAGCAGACTCCCCGCTGAGCAGGGAGCCCAACTCGGGATTTGATCCCAGGACCCCAGGATCATGACCCAAGCTGAAGGCAGACACTTAACCGACTGAGCCACCCAGGTACCCCAAATATGCTTGTTTTATGATGAGAACAAGGAAGAACAGAGAGAGAAAGAATGCTCAGCTTAAATGTGATAGCAATGCCATGAAGAAAGCATGCTGAGTACTATGAAAACGGAGCACCCACGGCCTTACATATTAAGTCTGAGCGATCCAGAAAGACTTCACTGAAGAAATGGCATTTCAGTTGCATGTGACACACCAAATGAAGGATTTTGAACTTTGATTTCTAGCCTGCCGACTGGGTGGATGTTGACACCTTTACCCTAAGTTGGGAGTAAGAAGAGTAGGCTTCGGTGGTAAATAGGGTAGGAGTAGGGTGTAAGAGTGAGCTAAGTTTTGAACATTTTTGGGCCATCCAGGTGGAAATATGTACTTGGATATTTGAGTCTGGAGCTCATAATCTCTGTAATTGTTAATATTTTGGCACATATTCTTCCAAACTTTTTCTAACAGACATGTTAATTTTTTCAAATGAAGTTGGAAAAATGGTATGATTCTCTGTGATTGTCTTTGAAGTTTCACAGATAGCCTTTAGAGCTCATTGTTTTCTGTGAAAGGAATTCTAGGAATTAGCTAGAGATAGAAATTGGGAACAACTGGTATAAAGGCAGCAGTTTTGGCTGTGAAAATGTTGTCTGCCCCACCCTATCAAGAAGGCTGACTCATCAAAACAAAAATAACTGTTAGATTTGGAAATTATACAGGAAACCACCAGGTTCTTACTTCTTCCTGGTTTGTTTTTGTATATATTTGATTTTAAATAACTAAAGGTACAGGGCATGTCGGTGGCTCAGTCGGTTAAGTGTCTGCCTTCAACTCAGGTCATGATCCCGGGGTCCTGGGATCGAGCCCCGCGTTGGGCTCTCTGTTCAACAGGGAGCCTGCTTTTCCCTCTCCCTCTGCTCCTCCCCCTGCTTATGCTCTCTCTCTCCCTCTCTGTCAAATGAATAAATAAAATCTTTAAAAAATAAAAATAAATAAACTGAAGGTAGCACTAAACATTTGTTATAACACAGATACAGTTATATGTCTTACCTAATTACGACTCCATGTATATGATAATATATAGTGAAGGGTTTTTTTATTTTTTTAAAAGATTTTATTTATTTATTTGACAGAGAGCGAGAGAGCACAAGCAGAGGGAGCAGCAGACAGAGGGAGAGGAAGAAGCAGGCTCCCTGCTGAGCAAGGAGCCCCATGCGGGATGGAACTCAATCCCAGGATCCTGGGATCGGGATCTGAGCCAAAGGCAGATGCTTAACTGACTGAGCCACCCAGGAGCCCTGTAATGAAGTTTCTTAGCAAACTAAGAAAATTTATGACACAAGGTTATATTATTTTTCCAATCCCGGATTTATATTTAGCAGTTCATTTTCCAACCCAGATTCCCATGGACCTTAATAAAAAGGTAATAGAAAATAGTGGCATGATTTAGAATTTCTTTCACCTCTTGCTAGATCTTGGGCAAAACCCACCTATATCATGGACCTGCAGTGAATTCTTCTGAATCATGAGTTTAGAATATTTACAGTAGATGTCAGTATATATAGAATAAATTTAGTGTCACTCTAAGGAGGAGAAGGATGTGTATGTGGGTTCTATTGAGTAGCAGTTACTTGCAAGTCTGTGGTTGCCTGGAGGCAAGGAGATCCCTAGATGTTTCTAACTCGCTAGGTCCAAGTGGGAGGAACTCAGTTTTCTGTATTTAATAGGGCTCTCTGGTAGTTCTAAAGAGTAGCCAGGTTTGGTAGCAATGATCTGAAAAACTTTTCTAGTCTCCTAGTAGAAAACTGAAGATAATCATTTGTCATGTTTTCATTAGAGGTTTGATTAGGGGAATCTAGATAAAATCTATTAAAAAATGACTATGAACTAATAAAACTAAGAACTTTGAAAGAAGAGTCATGTGAAGCTGTTTTTAATGACCCCCAAAATGCTCTGGGTCTATGTCGTTAAGTGAAAACAGTAAGATGCCAAATTGTTTATCATCCCAGTTTAATTTTTTTTTAAGCCAACTATTGGCTTAGAAGGAACAGTAGAAAGCAATATACCAAAATGCTAATGGTGATTATTTTCTAATGGAGGTACAGTGGGGAGTTCTGTATTTTCTATAATCAGCAAGAATTGCTTTTAGATTCGGGAAAGACTTTCAGGGGCACCTGGGTGGCTCAGTCAGTTAAGCGGCTGACTTTGGCCCAGGTCATGATCTCAGGGTCCTGGGATCAAGCCCCGCATCAGGTTCCTGCTCAGCAGGGAGCCTGCTTCTCCCTCTCCCCCTGCTGTGCTCACTCTCTGTGTCAAATAAATAAAACCTTAAAAATTAAAAAAGAAGGAATCAGGGAATACTTTTCAATAATTAAAACATTTTTAAATGATAAAACTGTACAACCACATTATAACTAAACTAGATGGGTGATTCTCAAAGAGGAGATGTATCACCTCCAGCCAGGGTCACCAATCTGGATTCTTCTTTGTTGTTTCTGAGCCTTCCTGCCTGGCATCTTTAATGGCATAAAAGTCCCTCGAGTAAATGTGGACTGATTTATTTTAACTTTTCTACTATGGTCATTTAGGTTACCTGCTCCCTTAAATGCAGTTGAATATCTGAAGGCGTACATATTTTGAATTATTCTTAGAAAAATTGTTACGGCTTAAGCAAGAACTTCATGTTTAAGGAGTATAAATTTAAGAATTGGTTACTCTGCCACCCAAATCAATATTTACTGTGGTGGAATGACCTCCAAGTTATATTGTTAAGTGAAAAAAGTATGATGCAAGACAATGTACATTATATAAAGGAGGGGACATAAATTATGGACATGCTTTAGATACATAGACTGTTTCTGGGGAGCTACAAAAGAAACCGGCTCAGAGCCATTGCCTGTCTGCAGAACTGGGTTAGACGGGCAGGATGGGGCAGAGGAAGCCTTGCTTTTCACTATTTCTCCTCTTGTACTATTTGCGTTTTTGGTCATGTCCATGTTTTACCAATTTCAAATAGATTACTATTTTTTTTTAAGATCTTATCTATTTGAGACAGGGAGGAAGAGAGAGAGAGAGCACCAGTGGTGGGGAGGGGCAGAGGGAAAGGGAGAAGCAGGCTCGCCACTGAGCAGGGAGCCCGACTTGGGCCTCGATCCCAGGACCCCAAGATCATGACCTGAGCCGAAGGCAGACACTTAACCGACTGAGCCACCCAGGCACCCCTAGATTACTGTTTTAAAATTTTGGTATAATTATCCATTCTCAGAAAACATACAAGAATTGTACATCGAGTTCATGGCTACCCTTCACCCAGATTCTCCAAATGTTAACATTTTTAAATAGTTCATTTTAAATACCAAAACAAAAAAATGTTTTTAAAGGAACGGGTTCCAGCAGAGATAGTCACAGTTATGCCCAATTTACACGTGAGGAAGCATAAATTCCGAGAGGCTGAACGGCTTGCCCTCCGTACATGGAGCAGGTTTGTAGTGGCAGAGCTGGGCCAAATCTAGGTCCTCCGACAAACAGCTCCTGTTACCACAGTGGTGACTTATACCCAGGCTGGTTTCAGAGTGACTTGACAGCGGATTCCTCAATTAAAATAACTTCTCTTTTCTGAGAGTCATCTTCACCTCAGTCTGGATTTCTGAAAATTCTGAGTAACCACTGCCTTTGTCAAAACAGTAGACAAGATGTAAATGGCCTGGTCTGACATCTCAAACACTGAGACCTGGTTCTTGGCAGGCTCCTGGCCTCCTCCTGCCACTAAACCACATTGTGTTTATAAACACAATTCCTGTATCACCCCCGATTCCTTCTCAGGTAAAATATCTGTTGAGGGAAAGGGAAAGAGGAGTTATAAAATTATATTTTGACAACTTGAGTTAAAATGGAGCTATAAAATTGTACTATCTCTATACCACTAGGGGGCACCATTACCTCGCATTTTCTGCTGGCTAAGGTTGGAAATCGTCCATATGTTTTTGTCATTGTCTTAAAAATAGAAATAATGTTATTATAATTACAGTAGCAATGTGTAGCCAGTGTAGAGCAATTAGTAAATACTTATAGGCAAAAAGAAGAAAAAAATTAAAATCTTTTCTTAGATTACAACTACTGCGACTGATTTCATAGTTTACAGCTGCTAGTATAGATTACAAAGCTACCAATGTCTGTCCTTCCAGACATTTTTTCTAATGGACCTACAAACTCAGAAAAAATAGATTTATTTATTTATCGAAATATAATATATTGCAGACACCTACATAAATCATAAGTATACAACTTGATGAATTTTCACAAAATGATTACAGCCATGTAATCACCGTTCAGATCAAGAAATAAGACACTAGGGGTGCCTGGGTGGCTCAGTTGAGCATCCACCTCTTAATTTTGGCTCAGGTCATGATCTCAGGGTCCTGGGATTGAGCCCTGTGTGGGGCTCTGTGCTCAACTTGGAGTCTAAGATTCCCTCTCCCTCTCCCCACACTCGCTTCTGTGCTTTCACACTCTCTTGCTCACTTGCTCGCTCGCTCTCTCAAATAAATAAACAAATAAATAAAATCTTAAAAAAAGGGAGAGTGCACCTGGGTGGCTCAGTCAGTTAGGCATCCAACTCTTGGTTTTGGCTCAGGTCATGATCTCCTGGTTGGGAGATCCAGCCCTGCATTCAGCTCCATGCTCAGTGGGGAGTCTGCTTCCCCTCTCCCTTTGCCCCTCTTCCTGCTTGTGCACTCTCTCTGTGAAATAAATAAAAAGAAAGAAGACATTAATACATCTTTTTAAAATTTTTTAAAAAGACACTGGGTGTTATACATGAACAATGAATCATGGAACACTACATCAAAAACTAATGATGTAATGTATGGTGATTAACATAACAATAAAAAATTTAAAAAAATTTTTTTTAGTGTATCTATTTGAGAGAGAGTGTTGGGGGGGCCAGAGGGAGAGAATCGCAGAGAATCTCAAGCAGACTCCCCTCCGAGGGCAGTGCCCACCCTCGGGCTTGATCTCAGGACCCTGAGATCATGATCTGAACCAAAATCAAGAGTCAGGCACTTGGGCGCCTGGGTGGCTCAGTTGTTCAGCGTCTGCTTCAGCTCAGGTCATGATCCCGAGGTCCTGGGTTTGAGCCCCGTATTGGGCTCCCTGTTCCGCAGGAAGCCTGCTTCTCCCTCTCCCACTCCCCCTGCTTGTGTTCCCTTTCTCGCTATGTCTCTCTCTGTCAAATAAATAAATAAAATCTTAAAAAAGAGTCCAGCACTTAACCGACCGAGCCACCCAGGTGCCCCTATCTTTAGATGGACCCTTCTTGCCTCCTCACAGTAACTACCTTCTTCGGAGATAACCACTATGCTGCTGGCTTCTAACATGAGAGAATAGTCTCATTCATTTTTTAACTATATGTATGGAGTCGTACAATATATGCTCTTGTATCTGGCTTTTTTTGGTGCAAAATTATATTAGTAAGATTTATCCTTGTTGTTATGTGTTGTAGTCATTTGTTTTTGTTCCTGTATTTTGTTTTATGAATTTGTCACAATCCTATATACCAGGGATTGGAGAACTTTCTATAAAGGGCTGGATAGTAAATATTTTAGGCATTGTGGACCATTCTGTCTCTATTGCAACTATTCACCTCTACCTTTGTAGCTCAAAGGCAGCTGTAGATACGTAAATGAGTGGGCATGACTGTGTTCCAATAAAACTTTATTTACAAAAACTAGATACCAAGCTGGAATTTGCAGTAGTTGCCAACAACTGCTATACTTTTTTTTTTTTAAGATTTTATTTATTTATTTATTTATCTATTTAGAGAGCAGGGGGAGGGGCAGAGGGAGAGAGAGAGACTCTCAAGCAGACTCCCCCCTGAGTGCAGATCTCGACATGGGGCTGGATCTCTGTTTTTGTTTGTTTCTTTTTTTAAATAAAATTGTATCACACTATGATGAAATTTTTTGAGATATCATAAATAGTCTTGATAGCTCATCATTTCTGTAAAAAGAGGAACTCTAGAAAGTGAAATAATAGCTGTCACTTTCCTTCTTTATTGTAGTCTCTGGCAAACATAGATGAAGTCGTGAACAAAATTAGACTGAAAATAAGGTAAGTAACACCATATGATTATTAATAATTAATGGAAAGTATGCTGTTAATTTAGTTAATCACGTTCTGGATCACACTTACCTGTTAAAACACCGAAATCTCAAGTTTGCTGTTTATGACAATTTTTTAAAAAATAATTCTTTTATCTTGGTTTCCATATGAACCTCATGGCAAAGAATTTGATTCTTTCATCAGTCTTCGATTATTTATAAGTAGGGAAGGAAGCTTTAACCATTCAAAATGGTTGGTCATAAAAGGGGGCAAAAGCATTTCTACTGTATTTTTAATAGTTTTATTTCCTTAGCAGATTTACCTTTTTTTGTACTCCCAAGGCTTAGATAAAAGGATGGGCATATACATGTATCCCTTGGCCACGTACCAGCTAACAGGATGGTCAGATCTGCTGGTTGGCATTTGTGGTAGCCTAAGATTAAATGTTGTGATTAATCTAGGATGTGCTTGTCAGAGTTAGACATCAAGTGTCCTTCCTGCCTAGTAGCCTTTTTCTGGTTTATCCACATCTGGATTTCCAGTTTTGATATACAGCAGATGGTCAATGTCTGTTCACTGTAATTAATATTATAGTGGTTGATGTCATTACTTCAAATACATTTTTGGGGAGTTTTTTTGTTTGATTTTTGATGAGGAGAAGCCTTCATTTTGAATCCAGGGGATGGTTTCTTTTTCCCTTACAAGCTTTGGGTCTTTCAGTGAAGACCTTTGCCATGAATATATTGTTTAGTTGGATGCCTCTCGTTGTTTTGATGGACTTCAGCTATAACAATCCTAGTAGAGAATGCTAAGTTGTCCAGGATTTGCACAGAAAATGGGAATTTCCTAATGATCCCCAAATCACTGCAGACTGGTTATTTTCAGCTTTCTCCCAACATACCTTTAAAAGATTCTTTATATGAAAAACGAAATTGATCTAAATTTCTCTGGCTGAGGTGCCACTAAATGGTCACTGTGGGAGCCAGAGGTCACAGACCCACTTACCACACAGCTTGCACAATCAGGGCCCAGAGGGTGAAGCACTGATGTCATGTGGCACTCTAGCTCCTTAACCCTTTAAGGTTTCTGAGGAAGTTACTGAGGATTTTGTGTGGGGTAATTTGAATTCTCTGACTTGTCCCCATAAAGTTTCAGCAACATCGTCATCCCTGGTTTTCTCCACTGAAAAATACTAAACGTTACATTGGCCCATTTGGACAGCTCTGAATATTAAGTAAGAGTAGCCTTTTTAAAAGACAAAGACTCCTCCTCAGTCTGCGCTGGGCTTGGCTTCTTACACTACTGTTACTGCCTTAGCAAGGGTCCGGGGCCCCAGTCTTCCTTATATCGCTCAGACTTGTTTGGTTTTCTGGACAAGTAGTTGCAACCAGCAGAAGTTGATGGGTAAGTTATCACCTCTTTTTCTTTTGGTCACCCTAGGATGGAGGTTGTTTTAATGATTCTTATCCTTTAACTTTTTCACTAGGAGACTGGATGACAATATTCGAACTGTTGTAAGAGGTCAAACAAATGTGGGGCAGGATGGCAGGCAAGTAAGTAACTTATTCATACTCTCCAGATTTCTTCATGATCCAACAACCAAATGACCAAAATGTTGATCTGCCTGCTTGTAGAGAGCACTTTCTTACTGAGGTGTCCCACACGCAGCAGGAAATGTGTCTGACTTGTCCCACTAATACCAGACCAGCAGTGAGCTCTCACTCAGTGTCTGCACAACCAGGAGCATACATAGCTCACCCAGGCCAAGGCCACGCAAGCCCAAATGAGAAAACCAAAGTTGTCTTGTCTTTCTCCTCAGTGTCAGACATATATTCATTTCAAAGTTTTATAGTTCTTTTTGGATCTAACTAAGGAGGGCGGTTGCAAGGGAATGAAGGGGGAAAGGAGTGTATGGGGTGGAGGGATTCGTCAATGACTGAGGGGCCAGAGGTTATCTCTTCACCATTTTCCTTTTTATTTGGATTCTATTCTGTTTAGGCATCGTATTTCAAAATTTGCTGTCATAACAGAGGTGTTGAACACACCTTTTGTAGTCTTCCTCTCATGCTGTGTCTACTCTTCCTTTCAGTACTGAGTCAGGTCGCTGTGTGCCTCCGTAGTAGCTTCAGTTCTGGTATTTGTCCTCTTTGACATTTTGTAGTGCAACTCATTTCTTAAAATATACATTTGTGCTACCCAAATTTGGGGAGGAAGGGAGGTAATCATCCTACGAATAAATGTCCTGATCTCGCATACTCCTGTTTCTTCCACTAGGAGCTTACCGGTGTTAGGAGTCTTTTTCTTTTTCTTTTACATTTTTAGTTTTATCCATGTCCCTATTTCTCCTACATTTGGTGGCTTACTTTTCCTCCTAATAATCATCTTCCATTGGCCTGTTTGTAAGTATCTACCTTCTTCCTTGTTGTCATCATCATCAGTATTTCTTATAGACATATTAGTGTCCTATAGCTGATCCAATTTCCTGGTCCCTGCATGGTTCTTAGTCCTTATTGCTTTGTTTTTGTCATTTAGGTTTCTCCCATGAAGCACCACTTCACAGGTGAGGCCTGTGTACATGGGGCCCTGGGAGGTAATTAAAGAGTAACAAGGTAGGGGCGCCTGGGTGGCTCAGTCATTAAGCATCTGCCTTCGGCTCAGGTCATGATCCCGGGGTCCTGGGATCGAGCCCCACATCGGGCTCCCTGCTCAGCGGAAAGCCTGCTTCTCCCTCTCCCACTCCCTCTGCTTGTGTTCCCTCTCTCGCAAGAGTAACAAGATAGTTTGCAAACACTCCAACCTCCTTCTGCCCTTTAGCTTTCCTCCTATATGTCTGGCCGTGTCATCTACCTCTTCAAAAACCTCAGTGGACTCTGTCTACCGAATTAAATCCAAATGTCTTTGCTTGGCATTCAAGGCCTCAATCCGCTTTTCCAGTTTTGCATCCTGCTGAGATCCATCCATACAGAAGACTCAGTGCCCTACAAGCACGCCCTGTGCTTTCTGAACCCATGTACTTCTTTTTGCCTAAAATTTTCTGTCCTCCTTTTCTTCTAGTAACTTCATCTCAAAATCTTACCTAAGGCCCAGCTCAAATACGACTTTCTCCATGAAATTTTCTATTTAGCTCAGCTGGACATACAAAAGGAATCAGAATTTTAGATGTAGAGGGGACTTGGAACTCATTCTACAGATGAGCAGATTCATCCTGATATCCCTCAACTAGATGTATATCCTTTCTGCCCACAAACTCCCAGGCCTATGCCCATACTTTCCATTTGACTTTCATGGTCTCCTTTGACTTAACTAGTGAACACATCTTGTCTCCTTGACTAGTATATAAGTTCCTTGAGGCAAGAACTGAATCGTCCTTATCTCTGTATTTCTCTCAACACATAGTTCACATGCAGTAATTTTATTCAACTGTATTGAATATTTGGTCTGTGTGAGACTAAAACAAAAGCCCTTTACCATAGAACATCATTATGATCAGTGTGTGTCCCCATAAAGCTGTTGAGAGCCTGATTAGTGTGTAACTAGTCCTGAATGACTACTATTTGAAATAATAACACAACTATTTAGTGTGATTCAGCCTACGCTCAGAGTGGCTCACGAAAATACTTATGGGAGTCTCAGGTATTTCAAATTCCAAGAATGGGAAAATAATATGAATGATTCATCAGGATTTTTTGTTGGGTCATGCTATGTATGTTTTAACCTGTGGTCACAAACTAGCTAGCAGTGGTGGAGAGTCAGGCCCCAAATTAGACAGCAGGCAGGAATGTTGGCCTTCCCTACCTTCCCATATTAATAGGTTACAGGTTGCTGCAGCAGGGCAGGTCGTATTTCAGAGAGCAAGACCACATTTTCAAGAATGTTTAGATAGCATTTCAATCTGAGGTGGAGTTTTGTGTTCGTCTCCTTAGAATCCAGACAGAAAGGAAGCCCAGAAGAAATAATTGCTTTTCCTGTCATCCCCTCCATCTGTCTTTTCCAGCAGTTTGTAACACAAGCTGAGGTCGAGACTTTTTTTTTCCAGGGAGCTTTTGGGTCCCATCCTTCTCAACTCCAAGGGGTAAAAGTCTTGCTGTCCAGCCCGGCTGGCTGGTGGTTTGCTGAAGAGAGACTTATTTGACTGGCACAGACTTGGGAGAGTTATAGATGTTCCAAAATACAGAGTTTTATAGGTCAAGAGGCCCCAGATTCCCCTCTTCCCTGGAATAGAGGAAAAGTCCGCCTTCAGAACTTGTTTCCTAAGCTTCTGAGGAACATTCGGGAGGAGGGCAATATTACGGACCGGAGGACATGTCATCTTGATTATGTTCAACCAGAACTGATGTGCTTTTTAATCTGTAAAGAAGGGGGAAATGTTTACTTCCTGTTCACAGTGTCTTAAAAGATATTTTTAGTAAAAATTTTTGAAAAGCGGTGCTTCTCACTACAAAATTATTTCTGAGGAGGCAGTGATTGAGAAATTGAGGACACAGTAAGGCACTTTCTTTGATTTTTGAGATTTCTGAAGTACCAGCTGCCTGGTTAGCACTCTGTTGCACATTTTGGAGAGCCTCTGATTGTTGACCACCTCCTACGTGGCAGACTTGAACTGGTTTAGTCTGTGACCTCTTCTAACCAGACTGTGATGCTCATACAAAGTTAATACAGCACAGAATTCTCCCCATTTTCTTCTGCTGAAGTCATCAGGCAAAAGCTTTAATTAAATGCCCACATGTTTCAAACTTTGTGGATAAGATGAGTCAATTCGATTAATACAGGATCTCATATGCTCTGAACCTTCTGCAGCTTCCCGAGAATTAAAACAGACGGCTTGACTGTGGGTAGAAAGAGGTGAATAGAGGAGCGGGTTGGAAAAAGAAAAGGTTGGCATGTGATGTTTCAAGAGTGGCCAAAGCTTGACCAATTCCCAGTGTGCTCACTGAGAAACACCAAAAGTATCAGCCACTGGGCTTCTGTCTCTGTAGTGGAGCTTCGCTGTACTGTTACTATTGCAGCAGAGCAAGATTAAGGTTCGGGAGGGGAAGAAACTGTTAATTGCCATCTCCAGCTCAGCTCACCAAAAGTTGATTGTAAGAAGCTTTAAGTATCCATAGTACAATCTTGCACCCAGTTCAGGAATCCTTTCTATGACAGCCCTGACATTTCATTGGCCTACTTCTGCTTGGACACTCATGGTGATGGGCAGCTCACTATGTTGTTGTTGTACAGGACAGTCTCAGTCTATTCCAGTTTCGAATAGCTTTAGTTGTAAGAAACTTCTTTCTTAGACTGAACTGAAATAGTAAAATAGATCTCATTGTAACATCTCATTGCTCTAGTTCTGCCAGCAGGATGGGTGTAAGCCTAATCCCTTTTCCTCATTATAGTTTCTAAAATTTTAAATGGATATTATGTTCCTTTCTTAGTGTTCCTTTTTCTAGGCTAACCATTCTTAGTTTCTTCAGCTTTATGATCTGATTTCCAGACCCTTTATCATCCCGGTTGCCTTGCAGTTTGTCAACATCATTTTTAAAATGTGGTTCCTGGGGCGCCTGGGTGGCTCAGTTGGTTAAGCAACTGCCTTCGGCTCAGATCATGATCCTGGAGTCCCGGGGTCGAGTCCCGCATCGGGCTCCCTGCTCGGCAGGGAGTCTGCTTCTCCCTCTG